TCACAGGAAGTGGCTTCAGGTTTTTTTTTCCCTCTCTGAACAGGATGTCGATAAGGAGGGGAAGTTTACTGTAATCAGGTGTTGGCTCCAGACCACCTCAAGGCATTTCCCCTGTGAGTTAGTATGAAACCATTTGCCCATGGACTCATTTACTGGTAAATCTTGTTAAAAAGTGAAGTATGTGTTTTTCCAAGGTCCCAATGGGTAGATTGTGGACTGATCGTGTCTTTGTCGGTGGGCAGGCGTGCAGAATCAGCAGGGGATCAAATACTTTTTTCCCTCACTGTAGATAATATACAGAGAGTAGCAGCAGCGTAAAAGAGGGGTGGGGGGGGCAATGCAAATAGTCTGAGTAGTCATTTGATTAGATGTTCAGGAGTCTTGGGGGTAGAAGCTGTTTAGAAGCCTCTTGGACCTAGACTTGGCGCTCCGGTACCGCTTGCCGTGCGGTAGCAGAGGGAACAGTCTATGACTAGGGTGGCTGGAGTCTTTGACAATATTTAGGGCCTTCCTCTGACACCGCCTGGTATAGAGGTCCTGGATGGCAGGAAGCTTGGCCCCAGTGATGTACTGGGCCGTACGCACTACCCTCTGTAGTGCCTTGCGGTCAGAGGCAGAGCAGTTGCCATACCAGGGGGCCCCGTGTAGCTCAGTTGGTAGAGCATGGCGCTTGCAACGCCAGGATTGTGGGTTCATTTCCCACGGGGGGCCAGTATGAAAATGTATGCACTCACTAACTGTAAGTCACTCTGGATAAGAGCGTCTGCTAAATGACTAAAATGTAAATGTAAAATTTTTGTTCAGTATTCATAACCTCCTGATATCGGGTCTGATGTGGAGGTCAGAGTGATTGTAATTCTGTTTTCTGACCAGGGGAGGGTGCTGGCAGGGCTCTCCAACCCTGTTCCTGGAAAACGACCCTTCTGTAGGTTTTCGCTCAGTGGTGGAAAAAGTACAAAATTGTCATACTTGAGTAAAAGTAAAGATACCTCAATAGAAAATATCTCAAGTAAAAGTGAAAGTCACCCAGTAAAATACAACTTGAGTAAAAGTCTAAAAGTATTTGGTTTGAAATATACTTAGTATCAAAAGTAAATGTAATTGCTAAAATATACTTAAGTATCAAAAGTAAAAGTATGAATCATTTCACATTCCTTATATTAAGCAAACCAGTAGGCACAATTTTATTGTATTTTTATTTATTTATGGCTAGCCAGGGGCACACTCCAACACTCAGACATCATTTACAAACAAAGCATTTGTGTTTAGTGAGTCCGCCAGATCAGAGGCAGTAGGGATGACCAGGGATGTTCTCTTGATAAGTGTGTGAATTAGACCATTTTCTGTACTGCTTTTGGGTGTCAGGGAAAATGTATGGAGTAAAAAGTACATGATTTTCTTTAGGAATGTAGTGAAGTAAAAGTAAAAGTTGTCAAAAATATAAATAGTAAAGTAAAGTACAGACACCCCAAAAAACTACACTGCTCAAAAAAATTAAGGGAACACTTAAACAACAAAATGTAACTCCAAGTCAATCACACTTCTGTGAAATCAAACTGTCCACTTAGGAAGCAACACTGATTGACAATAAATGTCACATGCTGTTGTGCAAATGGAATAGACAACAGGTGGAAATTATAGGCAATTAGCAAGACACCCCCAATATAGAAGTGGTTCTGCAGGTGGTGACCACAGACCACTTCTCAGTTCCTATGCTTCCTGACTGATGTTTTGGTCACTTTGAATGCTGGCGGTGCTTTCACTCTAGTGGTAGCATGAGACGGAGTCTACAACCCACACAAGTGGCTCAGGTAGTGCAGCTCATCCAGGATGGCACATCAATGCGAGCTGTGGCAAGAAGGTTTGCTGTGTCTGTCAGCGTAGTGTCCAGAGCATGGAGGCGCTACCAGGAGACAGGCCAGTACATCAGGAGACGTGGAGGAGGCCGTAGGAGGGCAACAACCCAGCAGCAGGACCGCTACCTCCGCCTTTGTGCAAGGAGGAGCTGGAGGAGCACTGCCAGAGCCCTGCAAAATGACCTCCAGCAGGCCACAAATGTGCATGTGTCTGCTCAAATGGTCAGAAACAGACTCCATGAGGGTGGTATGAGGGCCCGACGTCCACAGGTGGGGGATGGCTTACAGCCCAACACCGTGCAGGACGTTTGGCATTTGCCAGAGAACACCAAGATTGGCAAATTCGCCACTGGCGCCCTGTGCTCTTCACAGATGAAAGCAGGTTCACACTGAGCACGTGACAGACGTGACAGAGTCTGGAGACGCCGTGGAGAACCTTCTGCTGCCTGCAACATCCTCCAGCATGACCGGTTTGGCGGTGGGTCAGTCATGGTGTGGGGTGGCATTTCTTTGGTGGGCCACACAGCCCTCCATGTGCTCGCCAGAGGTAACCTGACTGCCATTAGGTACCGAGATGAGATCCTCAGACCCCTTGTGAGACCATATGCTGGTGCGGTTGGCCCTGGGTTCCTCCTAATGCAAGACAATGCTAGACCTCATGTGGCTGGAGTGTGTCAGCAGTTCCTGCAAGAGGAAGGCATTGATGCTATGGACTGGCCCGCCCGTTCCCCAGACCTGAATCCAATTGAGCACATCTGGGACATCATGTCTCACTCCATCCACCAACGCCACGTTGCACCACAGACTGTCCAGGAGTTGGCGGATGCTTTAGTCCAGGTCTGGGAGGAGATCCCTCAGGAGACCATCCGCCACCTCATCAGGAGCATGCCCAGGCGTTGTAGGGAGGTCATACAGGCACGTGGAGGCCACACACACTACTGAGCCTCATTTTGACTTGTTTTAAGGACATTACATCAAAGTTGGATCAGCCTGTAGTGTGGTTTTCCACTTTAATTTTGAGGGTGACTCCAAATCCAGACCTCCATGGGTTGATAAATTTGATTTCCATTGATAATTTTTGTGTGATTTTGTTGTCAGCACATTCAACTATGTAAAGAAAAAAGTATTTAATAAGATTATTTCATTCATTCAGATCTAGGATGTGTTGTTTAAGTGTTCCCTTAATTTTTTGGAGCAGTGTACTTAAGTAGCTCCTACCCAGTTGTAACTAACCTTATTCAGCTTATCAACCAGCTAATTGTTAGAATCAGGTGCGCTAGATTAGGCTTGGAGTGAAACCCTACAGGATGGTAACTCTCCAGGAACAGGGTTGGAGAGAAACCCTACAGGATGGTAACTCTCCAGGAACAGGGTTGGAGAGAAACCCTACAGGATGGTAACTCTCCAGGAACAGGGTTGGAGAGAAACCCTACAGGATGGTAGCTATCCAGGAACAGGGTTGGAGAGAAACCCTACAGGATGGTAACTCTCCAGGAACAGGGTTGGAGAGAAACCCTACAGGATGGTAGCTATCCAGGAACAGGGTTGGAGAGAAACCCTACAGGATGGTAACTTTCCAGGAACAGGGTTGGAGAGAAACCCTACAGGATGGTAGCTATCCAGGAACAGGGTTGGAGAGAAACCCTACAGGATGGTAACTCTCCAGGAACAGGGTTGGAGAGAAACCCTACAGGATGGTAGCTATCCAAGAACAGGGTTGGAGAGAAACCCTACAGGATGGTAGCTATCCAGGAACAGGGTTGGAGAGAAACCCTACAGGATGGTAGCTATCCAGGAACAGGGTTGGAGAGAAACCCTACAGGATGGTAGCTATCCAGGAACAGGGTTGGAGAGAAACCCTACAGGATGGTAGCTATCCAGGAACAGGGTTGGAGAGAAACCCTACAGGATGGTAGCTATCCAGGAACAGGGTTGGAGAGAAACCCTACAGGATGGTAACTCTCCAGGAACAGGGTTGGAGAGAAACCCTACAGGATGGTAGCTATCCAAGAACAGGGTTGGAGAGAAACCCTACAGGATGGTAACTCTCCAAGAACAGGGTTGGAGAGAAACCCTACAGGATGGTAACTCTCCAGGAACAGGGTTGGAGAGAAACCCTACAGGATGGTAGCTATCCAGGAACAGGGTTGGAGAGAAACCCTACAGGATGGTAACTCTCCAAGAACAGGGTTGGAGAGAAACCCTACAGGATGGTAACTCTCCAAGAACAGGGTTGGAGAGAAACCCTACAGGATGGTAACTCTCCAGGAACAGGGTTGGAGAGAAACCCTACAGGATGGTAGCTATCCAGGAACAGGGTTGGAGAGAAACCCTACAGGATGGTAACTCTCCAAGAACAGGGTTGGAGAGAAACCCTACAGGATGGTAACTCTCCAAGAACAGGGTTGGAGAGAAACCCTACAGGATGGTAACTCTCCAAGAACAGGGTTGGAGAGAAACCCTACAGGATGGTAGCTATCCAGGAACAGGGTTGGAGAGAAACCCTACAGGATGGTAACTCTCCAAGAACAGGGTTGGAGAGAAACCCTACAGGATGGTAACTCTCCAGGAACAGGGTTGGAGAGAAACCCTACAGGATGGTAACTCTCCAGGAACATGGTTGGAGAGAAACCCTACAGGATGGTAGCTATCCAGGAACAGGGTTGGAGAGAAACCCTACAGGATGGTAACTCTCCAGGAACAGGGTTGGCGAGCCCTGAATTGGAGGTTACAGCTCCAGAGTCTACTCTCCAGATATCTTTCCAGTACTTATCACTCCATATTCAGGAAATGCATAAACTGTACTGCAGCTGTTCATTAAAAACCTACTGAAACTACTAGTAATAATATGCCATTTAGCAGACGCGTTTATCCAAAGTGACTTACAGTCAAACATTTTCAGTACGGGTGGTCCCAGGAATCAAACCCACTATCCTGCCATTGCAAGCACCATGCTCTACCAACTGAGCTACAGACCCAACTTCACAGGAAAGGGTCAAATACAAGGGAAGGAAAGTACACTCTTAAATTAATTATTCAGTTTAAACTTTATAGATTTTTTTTTTTACAAAGATCCTTCAAACAATCAATGAATGAGTATTGCCTCGGATTAATTGGTTATCTCAACAACACCCTATGAATTCGTTACTCACCAAAGGCTTTCTTGGGCCCCACCAATCGTAGAGTGAAGGGTGTTCCCCTTGGTTGTTCCTTTAGCATCTTAGCCACTTCGTAGTGCCGACACCCGACAATGCTCTGGTCATTGATGGCCTCAATGTGATCACCCACGCATACTGTCTTGAGCTGGTCAATGGTGCTATCTTCCTTTATCCTCTGCAGAAGAAACAGACAGGGTTTGGGTAGGAGGTAGTCCATCTACCTAATCCTATTCTATTAAATGTTGACATCTTGACAAGTATCTAGGCTACACTATTACATATTCATCATTATAAACTGGGTGGTTCGAGCCCTGAATGTTGATTGGCTGAAGGCCATGCTATATCAAACCGTATACCAAATATTTTTACTCTTCTAATTACGTTGGTAACCAGTTTATAATAGCAATAAGACACCTCGGGGGTTTGTGGTATATGGCCAATATGCCACGGATAAGGACTCCGCGTTGCGTCGTGCATAAGAACAGCCCACAGGCGTGGTATATTGGCCATATACCACATCCCCTCGGGCTTTATTACTTAAGCATAAGTCGGGAGAATGTTACAGGGAAACTTCAGTCAGGTGGGAAGCAAAATGATTTGACTGTTTTTCGTTGTTGTTTTGTGGTTAAAATGTGTAGAACAGATAGGCCTTTATCATGTAGGCTAAAATACAGTTCACCTCAAAGTCAACCTTGAGTCTGCTCTGTGACAAATGTTACCATAGTTTGGAGGAAGGGTAAGGTAACAGAGCGTCATGGAAGCACAGCCACATCGTATTGGAATTTCCCTCTGCTAAAATATGTCACAATCCTTAAATGTTTCAATCTGGTTCTAGGTACTTCCTCTGCCCAGGCGCTGCTGACTCATGTCAGAACTTACAACGCCTGGATAGGAATTTTAAACATCAGCTAACCACATCATGTTATAGCAATCTGGTGCCAGACTGCACAGTCGATGACGTGGCACATAACCATTGGTTGATACATGCAACGTCTGAGCAGGGGAACATGACCTCTCTCTTCACTTAAAAACTGGCCTTTTACTCTGACCTTTAAATTTAGCCTTTAGCTCTGGCTTTTACGTCTATGGAACATTCTGACTCAGATAAGGTTTACTTACTTACTTTAGGTCTGGCTTTTACCTTAATGAAAGCATACCCTGCTCCGTTGTCAGTGATGGTCAGCCCGAGGGCGTCCTCCGTTTTGGTGACCTCCACCTCTTTGGTCTCGCCCCTGACGTGGGCGAAGATGAAGTCCTCCAGGCCGATCTGACCACCCAACAGCTTTTGCATGTCCACCTTGTGGGAGTTCAGAGTGCAGAAAAGGATCTATGCCCACAGAGAAGAGAGAGAGGAGCAATGGTCAGAAGGCAATACATGAGGGTAGTTTGGAACATGAATGATTGTCATCCCATTCAAATGAAGAATCATTAAAATGTTCATCTGTCATCCTCCTGAACTTGTTAAGTCACAGCAGTATGGAACAACCTGAAGTGGTGTGAATGAATGGAAATGGCTTTGATCTTAATTCAGTAAATATGCCTACATTCCTCTAAATGAAGAATACTGTAGCTCCGCAAAATGTAATGACATCTAAAGAAGGGTCTTTAACATCACAGGAGATGACAGGGTCGTGTTCAGTAGGGAGAAAAGGTTTTAAACAGAGTGAAACGTTACTAACTGAACTTGCCCAATAAGAACAAAGATTTTTGTTTTCTTGTCAAACAATAAATCAATCACATGTATTTATAAACCCCTTTTTACATCAGTGGTCCTCTGTAGCTTAGCTGGTAGAGCACGGCGCTTGTAACGCCAAGGTAGTGGGTTCGATCCCCGGGACCACCCATACACAAAAAAATGTATGCACGCATGACTGTAAGTCGCTTTGGATAAAAGCGTCTGCTAAATGGCATATTATTATTATCAGCAGTTGTCACTAAGTCGTTTTTTACAGTGACCTGGCCTAGACCCCAAATAGCAAGCAAAAGCAGAAGCAGAGGAACATTGGCACAAAAACTTCCTAGAAGGAAGAAACCTTAGAGAGTAACCGTGCTCTGCGGGGTGGCCCATCCATCCTCTTCTGGCTGTATTGAAACCATTCCGCAAACATTGTGTCCTACACTACACTCAACCTTTAACACGACTCACAAACCTCTCCTGATTCCCATGTCATACTTCTCAATCTCAACAGCAGAGGGCAGTGTTGCAACATAGATTCACCAAAGAGACTGCACTTCATGTGGCCATTTTGTGATCTTATCTGGACAGTACAATCCTGGTCCTGGAGAGCCACCGTATATTCAGGCTTATATCAAGCCCAGCACTAACACACTGGATTCACCTAGTGGTCAGCTAATCATAGTTTTCAATCTTGAACACTGTTAGTTTAATGCTAGTTTTGGGGACAGAAATAAAAGCATGCACTCACTTCCTGGATCCTTCTGGATTTGCCACCCCTGCTCTTTTATACTCTCTCTCAGTTCTGCATTTGTTACCTGTACGTCATTTGTTACCTGTAGGTCATTTCTTACCTATATCAGTGGAGGCTGCTGAGGGGAGGACGGCTCATAATAATGGCTGGAATGGAGCGAATGGAATGGCATCAAACCATGTGATTGATGTATTTCATACCATTCCACTGATTCCTCTCCAGCCATTACCACGAGCCCGTCCTCCCCAATTAAGGTACAACCAACCTCCTGTGGTATAAACTCTTGTCTCAGCCTTGCTGGTTATCATTGACACTAGTTCAAGGACAGGCATAAATAAGCCTGGGTGGAAAGTGAGACAACAGCTTTATTGCAGGTTGTAATGTGAAATGCTGCCAGCTTGCTGACTTTTCTTTTTTTTATGCCAAAGAGCACATGGTCTGTCCTGTCCAAAGCCCTAGAATTAGAAATATATTCAGAATATGATTAGAACATGATCAGAATATAATCAGAATATGATTAGAATATGATCTGAATAGAATCAGAATAGAATCAGAATATGATCAGAATATGATCAGAATAGAATCAGAATATGATCAGAATAGAATCAGAATATGATCAGAATAGAATCAGAATATGATCAGAATAGAATCAGAATATGATCAGAATATGATTGTGCTCTTTTTCTACTGTTCACTTTTTTATTTGGCCTTTTTGCTGGAATGTGTTTAGCATTCAAGAGCACTGAGCAAAATACAACATTAAACCATCAACATGACATAAAACAGAAAGAGAGGCTGGTCTTACATAGTGTGATACTAGTTAGACAGATGTGACTTAGTCTTCATTAGCCTCTGAAGCTTTATAACCTAGTTAAATAATTCTGCATCATCAGTGGCCTACAGGGTACAAATGAAGACATTTCTGAACATTTCAGTGTACTCCCACTAATATGCCTTAAATACAAAGAGCCTGCTATAATATCACATATACAAAGTACAGAATTATTAGGAACACTGACAAACAACCCCTCCCCCCCAAAAAAGGAACCTTCTGTATTACGGTGTTATAGTATCAAATGTGTTCTTGAAACTATATTATATAATTCTACTGACCAACCTTAGATCACCCTTATCTTTCTGTCATCTGTGATGGCATTGAGACAGCAACAGGTTGCAGTGTGGACAGCCGTGACCCACTAAAAGGTTGTTCACTAGGCCAGATCAGTAGATTTCGCTCAAGGACAATTTGTGTGTGTCTTCCAACTGCTTTTACGACATTACTAGAAGGTCATCCTCACATTGGAGATGTTCGATGTTAAAAGCATGCATTAGTTACTAAAAAAACAACTCAGCAACCACTCATTTTGACAAACTCTGCACCTGTCACTCAGAATTCGGCTCTGGAATGTTCTGGAAATGTTTTATGAATTATTTTCAAACTGACTATTTGTATTTAATCCGTGACAGTTGATCAAAAGTCAAAATGATCAAAGTCCTTCAAACTGAACATAATCCGGAGCAAATGATTGCGTAGTACATCATGGAAACAGGTCTAATTTGAGACGAAAATAGTCAATCAACCTTAACCAAACAAGGAGAAACATTTAGATATTACATTTTCATTCAAACTGTCAGCATGACCTAAAAGCAGAACATCCAAATGATCAGATCTTATACTGTATTGGCCTAACCAGTCAGCAGAAATGAACAAAGAATACCCTAGCCTACCGTACCTCCGAGGGAGAGATATGAAACACCTCAGCGATCTTGGCATACAACTCCTTGACATTGGTGAAGCCATGGATGCGGCCTGTAGGGCTGCCATGGGCCAACTGGGTGTGGAAGACGAGCCTGGGCCTTGGGTACTCGGGTGGCCCAGGCGGAGGTGGGTCTGAGGGGGGCAGCGGCGGAGCTGAGGGCTCCACACCCCCACGTGTCTGGCTCTTTTCCTTTTCCTCCGCGGCCGGCCCTCCGGCGTTGTTGCTGTCCTGCGCTAGCGGGCTCATCTCTTCTCCGTTCTGCATCGGCCCCAGCTCTGGGTTGGTGGTCCTCTGTGAGTCCTGGTGTATGCTGCCCTAGCTGGCCAGAGAGAGAGAGTCTTTCCCCCTCTGAGCTGGGGCCCTAGGTGCAGCTGAATTAGTGATGAGAGTAGCCAGGTAACGGCAGCCCAAGGAGGCCTGCTCGGCCAGGTGGAAACCCAACACCCAGAAGAGGGGGATCGTATGTGTGACACCGGAGACCGAGGGCAGATAGGGAGAACAACATATAACACCACCACCGTCTGTCTGGGGGCGCTAGGTAAAGGGACTCACACATGACCCCAAGAGGATGGCACGTTTGTTGTAGGGGCTAAAAAAACGCTTACCATATCCATGATATCATGTGTCACCTGGAGTTGGCAGACAGACATTGTCAGAGTGTTGGTGGTAAGGAGACACTCTGTCCTGGGAGTAAAGTCCCTCCAGTCCTTATTAATGAAAATATATTAAAGTCAGGATGGATCCTCCTCAACTTGTTGGCCTTTTTAACCCTACAGCCAGCCCACGGATACACAAGAAGCCTACTTAGCCTGATAAATGGTTGTTTAATTCGACCCCATGCTGAAATATGTGCCAACAACTATTTAGAAGTTAACAAATATATTAGGATGTGATGATTGATCATAGTAAGACCTAGCTTTGATATGTATGTCTGCAGTTTTATAATTGTATTCACAAAACCCTGGACCAATCCTGCAACAGTATGTAGGCTACCTAAAGCACAGGGATTTCCTAGGTTTAGGAAACTAGAAGTAAAACATTTCCGGATAGTTGTGAAGTACAGAGAGAACCCCCCTGGCCAGGGGTCATGTGTTATCACCACAGCACACTGGAAATACACTGAGTCTACAAAACATCAAGAACACCTGCTCTTTCCATGACTTAGACTGACCAGGTGAATCCAGGTGAACACTGTGATCCCGTATTGATGTCACTTGTTAAATCCACTTAAAATAGTGCAGATGAAGGGGAGGAGACAGGTTAAAGAATAATTTTTAAGCCTTGAGACAATACAGACATGGATTGTGTGTGTGCCATTCAGAGGGTGAATGGGCAAGAGACAAAACATTTAAGTGCCTTTGAACGGGGTTTGGTAGTAGGGGCTAGGCACATCGGTTTTTGTCAAGAACTGCAACGCTGCTGTTTTTTTTACGCTCAACAGTTTCCTCTGTGTATCAAGAATGGTCCACCACCCAAAGGACATCCAGCCAACTTGATACAACTGTGGGGAGCATTCGAGTCAACATGGGCCAGCATCCCTGTGGAACGCTTTTAACACTTTGTAGAGTCCATGCCTTGACGAATTGAGGCTGTTCTGAAGGCAAAAGGGGGGTGGGAGGGTGCATCTCAATATTAGGAAGGTGTTCCTAATGTTTGGTATACTCAGTGTATATATATTTTTTACCATTAGTGGTGTATCCAATTAATTAATAAGCATTCTTTTAAAGGTGAATAAACATTTATATAAGTAGGATTAAGAGCGTGAATATGCCCCGGCATGTCCCGTGATCCCTGACGTCCGGGCTTTTCCCAAGACACAAAGGTCTTGTATCTCCCTCTTGAATATGGAAATACGAGCAAATGACTCTCGCTCTTGTTGATGATACTGTACTTGTACTTGTGTCGTATCTGTATGCTCTTGAATTGTGAGACCCACATTGATGTTGAAAACATTGATATGGAAAGCAATTGTGTGTCAGGAAGAATGCACTCTTTAACCATGATATACAGTTTAAACTATACTTCTGTGTTTTGCTAGTCTTGTAACAATGTCCATCTAAGACATCCAGTTGCTCTTACGCATTACAATATGTATTTTCTGTACATTTGAACTATACTCTTAAATTAAGACTGGGATATATGTAACTTGAAACATGTTCCTGTTTAGCTCATCTTGGTGAGCGACTGAGGCTGCGTGTGCTGAGGCTGCGTGTGTACGTTGTTGTAGACGTGCTGAACCTGCAATTCTGCAGCTGCTGCGGCTTCACTGTGTCCTTAGGGGCTAATTGTGTCTTATCACAAGGTTAATGCTATTACTCAGAGAGACTGATAATGAGGAATGTTCTGACAAAACATACCCTTTTTACAACATCTGATATAATCTTCTCTAACCAAAGGACATCTTTTACTTTTCCTTGAAGAAAAAAACTGACAGACCATCTGTGAAATTTATACACATGGGACATCTTCTTACGTTTGCAACATATGCCACAAATAAATAGTTCCTTCTTGTGCTTTTCTTTCAAATAAAGTCTTGGCCTTCTCTAGGTCCCCATGATATTTCCTCCTTCTTTTGAGGTAGTGAATAATATTTGAACAGGCCAATGTTTGCCATAGCCTTTGTCAATAAAACCATATGAGCATATATAATTTTTATGTGTCATATGGTCAATATTGATAGATGATATAGTTAATACAGACCAAAGAAAGACAGGGCTGAAAGGATTTATTGATGTCAATCATTTATAGGCACTGACGATTTTTGTAGATGGTTCCCAATGTTTAGCGCCTTTTAAATGTTTATAATAAATGGAAATTATTCAACCTATTAACCTATTATAATTCTATCTGGTTTTGAACCTCAGTTCCTCAGTGTTCCTGGAACAATCCAATGCCTGGGATGAACTGTGGTCTGTCGACTGTTACTAGAATATAACTGGTGCTGTAGGAAAGATAGATATCAAAATGCTCTTTCAGTGTAAGCCACAAAACACTGAACAAGAATATAAATCTTTTTTTTATTTTTTATACAATCTATCCTCATGCTTCATTAAAACCGACTCCATTGAGTAATTAGGAAAAATAAAATAAAATAAAATGTTATTTGCCACATGCGCCGAATACAACAGGTGTAGACTTTACAGTGAAATGCTTACTTACAAGCCCTTAGCCAACAATGAAGTTTTATTTTTAAAGAAAAAAGTAAAATAAAAAAGTGTTAAGTAAAAAATAAAAAAGCAAATAACTTAAGAGCAGCAGTAAAGTAAAATAACAGTAGGGAGGCTATATACAGGGGGTACCGGTACAGAGTCAATGTGAAATAACAGTAGGGAGGCTATATACAGGGGGGTACTGGTACAGAGTCAATGTGAAATAACAGTAGGGAGGCTATATACAGGGGGGTACTGGTACAGAGTCAATGTGAAATAACAGTAGGGAGGCTATATACAGGGTACAGAGTCAATGTGAAATAACAGTAGGGAGGCTATATACAGGGGGTACTGGTACAGAGTCAATGTGAAATAACAGTAGGGAGGCTATATACAGGGGGTACTGGTACAGAGTCAATGTGAAATAACAGTAGGGAGGCTATATACAGGGGGTACCGGTACAGAGTCAATGTGAAATAACAGTAGGGAGGCTATATACAGGGGGTACTGGTACAGAGTCAATGTGAAATAACAGTAGGGAGGCTATATACAGGGGGGTACTGGTACAGAGTCAATGTGAAATAACAGTAGGGAGGCTATATACAGGGGGGTACTGGTACAGAGTCAATGTGAAATAACAGTAGGGAGGCTATATACAGGGGGGTACCGGTACAGAGTCAATGTGAAATAACAGTAGGGAGGCTATATACAGGGGGTACCGGTACAGAGTCAATGTGAAATAACAGTAGGGAGGCTATATACAGGGGGTACTGGTACAGAGTCAATGGGAAATAACAGTAGGGAGGCTATATACAGGGGGTACTGGTACAGAGTCAATGTGAAATAACAGTAGGGAGGCTATATACAGGGGGTACTGGTACAGAGTCAATGTGAAATAACAGTAGGGAGGCTATATACAGGGGGTACCGGTACAGAGTCAATGTGAAATAACAGTAGGGAGGCTATATACAGGGGGGTACTGGTACAGAGTCAATGTGAAATAACAGTAGGGAGGCTATATACAGGGGGTACCGGTACAGAGTCAATGTGAAATAACAGTATGGAGGCTATATACAGGGGGGTACCAGTACAGAGTCAATGTGCGGGGGCACTGGCTAGTTGAGGTAATTGAGGTAATATGTACATGTGGGTAGAGTTAAAGTGACTATGCATAAATAATAAACAGAGTAGCAGCAACGTAAAAGAGGGGGATGGGGTGGGGTGGGGTGGGGGGGGGCAGTGCAAATAGTCTGGGTAGCCATGATTAGCTGTTCAGGCTTGGGGATAGAAGCTGTTGAGAAGCCTTTTGGACCTAGACTTGGCGCTCCGGTACCGCTTGCCGTGCGGTAGCAGAGAGAACAGTCTATGACTAGGGTGGCTGGAGTCTTTAACAATTTTTAGGGCCTTCCTCTGACACCGCCTGGTATAGAGGTCCTGGATAGCAGGAAGCTTGGCCCCAGTGATGTACTGGGCCGTACGCACTACCCTCTGTAGTGCCTTGCGGTCGGAGGCAGAGCAGTTGCCATACCAGGCGGTGATGCAACCAGTCAGGATGCTCTCGTTGGTGCAGCTGTATAACTTTTTGAGGATCTGAGGACCCATGCCAAATCTTTTCAGTCTCCTGAGGGGGAATAGGCTTTGTCGTGCCCTCTTCACGACTGTCTTGGTGTGTTTGGACCATGATAGTTTGTTGGTGATGTGGACACCAAGGAACTTGAAGCTCTCAACCTGTTCCACTACAGCCCCGTCAATGAGAATGGGGGCGTACTCAGTCCTCTTTTTTTCCCTGTAGTCCACAATCATCTCCTTTGTCTTGATCACGTTGAGGGAGAGGTTGTTATCCTGGCACCACACAGCCAGGTCTCCGACCTCCTCCCTATAGGCTGTCTCATCATTGTCGGTGATCAGGCCTACCACTGTTGTGTCGTCGGCAAACTTAATGATGGTGTTGGAGTCGTGCCTGGCCATGCAGTCATGGGTGAACAGGGAGTACAGGAGGGGACTGAGCACGCACCCCTGAGGGGCCCCCGTGTTGATGATCAGCGTGGCAGATGTGTTGTTACCTACCCTTACCACCTGGAGGCGGCCCGTCAGGAAGTCCAGGATCCAGTTGCA